ACCGAACTAACCTCTATCTTGAGTCTTATACCTTTTGCTCAATGTGGGTTGGATTTATTGGGTTCTCTCCCCGTAGCTTTAGGACAAAGGAAGGTTCTCATTATGGTGATTGACTACTTCACCAAATGGATTGAAGCTGAACCTCTAGCCAAAATTATAACGTCACAAATTTTGTGTGAAAGTCCATCATCTACCGCTTTGGTGTGCCTATTTCCTTCATAACGGACGATGGTGTTTAGTTCATCAGCGAGGCTTTCGAAGCTTTTGTGAAGAGTATAACATTCGCCTCAAGTTCTCCTTAGTCACCCACTCCAAATCCAACGAATTGGCCGAGGCCTCCAACAAATGCATCCTCCAAGCGTTGAAGAAGAAGGTGGACATGACGGTAGGGAACTGGGTCTAAGAACTGCCCGGTATCCTTTGGTCTTACTGCATAACCTATAAGAACTCAACCGGGGAGACTCCCTTCAAGCTAGCCTATGACGCCGATGCAATTACCCTAGTCGAAGTAGACATGCCAACTATCCGACTATAGTACGTCAACGAGGACTTGAACTCAGAAGGACTTCGGGTTGGGTTCGATCTCCTAGGTGAAATCCGAGAGAAATCGCTTCGAACCCAGTTCATCAATCAGTAACAAATCGCTCGGTACTACAATAGCAAGATCCAACCCAAGAGATTCAGTGTCAGTGATCTCATCATCCGTAAAGTCGCTTTTGACAAAGATACCAAAAGAGGTAAGTTAGCTCCTAATTGGAAATGCTCGTACATAGTCCTTAAGGAGTTGCGAGCAGTCACCAATCGACTAAGGAACCCGGACGGAAGAATCCTGTAATACCCCTGGAACATTGAGCATCTTAAGAAATATTTTCAATAATCTTGTACAAAACTTCATTCATTATAAAGGAAATCCTTTTTGAATCTGACTCATGTCGCATTCTCGAAGTGCCAGATTTGTGCAAGAACTCCAAGCACTTAGTTCCCTCTTAGGATAAACAAGGCACACCTTCCATGCGGTCGGCTCCCACATTTATGAGTCAATCATCACAACAGGTCAAAAAGACATAGGTGTCCTCATTAAGACCTATGCACTCAACCTTTGGGTTGTCATTTTGCCAAAAAGACCTAGGCATCCTCATTAAGACTAGGCACCCAATCTTCGGATTGTCACTTTATAGAAAAGACCTAGGCATCCCCACTAAGTTCTAGGTATTCCAAACTTCTAGTCATCCTCAATAAAAAGACCAAAACATCACACCGACGAGAAATGTAAAATGAGCCGATCGTCTTGACCCCTCAACAATTGGGTTGCCTAAACACGACAGACTCGCGGCAACCATAGCTTGTTCTCTCAGCTAGTTTAGAATTGCAAACAACCAAAGAAAAGGACTTTTTAGCTCCCCTATTTAATGCACGACCTCGTCCGTTTAGAGCTGCTCTCATTTCACTCGGACCCGGCCCAAGCCGACTCCAATCGAAAGGGACCAATTGTTATGGTATTTTCAGTCGTCAAATTGTGGCCCTTTGCTAGCAATGGACAAGTGTCCCCATTCATGGTGTGTTTGGGTCAAAAGTTGATGTTTTCATTGTCTTGAATCTATTACAACTTTAATCGTTATAATAAACTCAAATGAATAAAAAAATTGATCTTTTTATAAGATCTCTTTTACAATAAAATAAAAGATTACAACTTTTGTCAAACTATACATAGATCCTATTTATTAGTCTCTGTTTTGTGTGGGATCTTTGCCTGTGCCAGGGATGTTGATATCCGTGGACCGTCGCAGATCAGATCCGGTTGACAGAAAATTAACAGAGCTCCTACTTTACCAAAGAAGTATTCGCTTGAAGCTCTAAAATCAACCAAGCGAAATCAGTAGCTCTTCTCGAGATTAAGACCAAGCTTAATCTCGAGGAATGGACGGAAGGGGCTTCAGATCTCTCGAACTCTCCCTCTTTATGTTAAAGAACTTCGTCGAGATCACTTAGCCTCCTCTGAAATTCGTGCTCCCTTGCTCTCTAACTTGGCAGAACCTCCTCCTCTTGATAATAAATCACCTCCCGTGAAAGTATACCCTAGGCTTGTACTTATAGGGCACCGGATGAGGGTATATGGATAAGAATGAATGATTTGACCCTATCTTTAGTTAATAACAGCCTAACCCCATTTAGAGATGATATACAATCAGTTAAGATGCTCTGGGACAAGCAAATCCTAAGAAATATCAAGAAACACATAAAAAACACGTTTCGGGCAGTTACGATTGCGCGGCAGGTCGACGTGACCCGCGTGTGCGCGGGTCACCTTGGGGTGACCCGCACTTGTGCCGGTCACTTTGAGGCACCTTCGGTATTTTACTCTTAACTCTCTCGTCCGACCTCGGATTGAGCTGGTTCAAGATGTATTGGAAAGTTGACAAAGAGATCTACAACTTTTATGTTTTAAACTTTTTGAGATTCAAAGCAGATCAGGATCTAAATCGTAATTCTTTTAGGATAACCCGTCGACGTACTTGACGCTCAGGACTGGCAGGATCCCGACTTAGCTGACTCACTGAGTCGACGCCTCTTTAGGTCAACTAGAAGGGCGGTACTTGTCGATCTTCTTGATGAAGACGACTCGTTGCGAGTCCATTCGATCAGTTATTCGACACCTCGTTGGGTAGAATAGAAAGACGTTACTTCTCGACACCCCTCGTTACAAGCCAAAAGACGACTTCAACCTCAAACCCCCCGGCTGACAGTACGTCGACGTCACATTAAATGCTTGGCAGACGCCATCATTTCTCCATCATCGACACTACTTATGAGACATCAGACCATGCCGAATTCATGTGTCGCCCATCCCATCTCATTAATGATGAAATGACAATGCCCATCCTGTGTCTGATCTAAGACCGACACTTGTACATTCAATGCTGACTCAGCCGCCAGCTCAGACTCGACCAGAAAAGACTAAAATGCCACTCCTTCATGGCTATAAAAAGGGAAAACTATTCCCAATGCAAATGTAAGCAATTTCTTAGCATTTTTTCTCCATTCCGCTGTACTTCTCTTATTCCCACTGAGCACATAGCTGACTTGATTATCGGAGGCACAACGGTTGAACCAGTCCCTGTCCTTTTACGGGTTGTTACACGCGCAGAGACGAATAACCTAACTCTAAATCGGATATTCAGAAAAGTAAGCGGCCCCCATATCACCACATTCTCTATTACCTTCTCTTTTACTTGTGAGATTTAGACCATTAACAGAGAGTATATAGAACAGTTTCATATCCTATACTTTTTATTATGGCTTGTGACTTACTAATAGTACATGTTCATACAATAGCTTCGGAATCTGCCTTCAGTACATTAGGACATTTGATTGACGACCACAGAACATTGCTAGATCCGTCTATCGTACAGGCGGTAATATGCCTACAAGATTGGTGGAGGTTCGAGAAGAGAACTGAATGCATCAATCAGATGTCTAGTATTGATGATAGACTTGAGTTGATAATATGAGATAGAGATAGAGAGTAGAAATTACTCATTAGTTTGTAATTTTTATTTCTTAGCTGTAAATTTGTGATAAATTATTTTGAAAAGAGTTACAAATGATAGTGATATAGATGAGTAGATGCCAACCTAGTTGGGATGTGTTCATCTACTGTGATGCGATAAATTTAAAAAAAAATTGCAATTGTTAGTGATTAATAATAAAGAATTTATTTTTATCATTTTAATTTCTATGATATTTGTATTTGTAAATTGTATAATTATAAGTGATTAATAATATGATTAAATTTATATTAAAATTTTATATATTTGATTTTTAATTACTCTTGAAATTTTATTTTTTACAAAAAAATCTAACTTTTAAGCCAAAAAAAGAAAAATAACCGAACTGGCCTGGTCCTAGATTTCTGGGCCGGGCCAGGCTAGGCACCTTTGGACAATCTTACCTTTAGTTTCATTGTTCAGATAGGTATTTTTCTTTTTTTATTATTTATTATTTATTATTTATTATTATTATTATTTATGATAGACTCACTAATTTCACCCAAGCGTAATGTTAAGACTAAATTTCACCAAGGGTAGAAAGAATTAAAAAAAAATTAACCCATATTTTTATGTACTACAGAACACAACACTATAAGATAAGTACTCACTCGCCATTTCTCATTAATAATACACGAGAAGAATCCATATTGTTATGCCTTGTAATGCAAAACAAATAAATAATTTATGATACCGATAACGCTGTTCTTCATCTTATTACCTTGCACGTTTTTAAAAAAAGAGATTGTATAAGAAAACATTTTGGATGGGTGTTTCCATTCATTGCTAGTGTGTTGAATGGGTACAAAGATCACATGAACAGCTAAGGTTGAGTTGCTGAATTCAAAGCATTGGGAAAAGTGATTGGGCAGAGAAATAGTCGTTTGAGAAAAAGAAGAAGAAAAAATATCTAAGAAGAAAGAGTGCGCGCATTGATTGGGAGGTATAACTGTAAGAGGGCAGTAGATTGGACTAGCCTTAAATGGAGTAGGACCCTTTTAGAGTCTCCTCCATTATGAAAAATAATAGGGAGATGATTGTTTTCAATTTTAACTATTAATTATATATTAGGTGGTTCTAATATATTTTAACTCTAATATTCATCATAGTCTAGTGTACTGTGTCCATTCTTAATTTGCACTCAAAGAAAAAAATTATAATCACCCACTAAATAATCTATGATTAAAATTAAATAATGATATGCTCACTATTTTTCGGTAAGAAGAAGATCCGAATCCCTTCATGGTACGCTTTACATATATACTTTGTGAAATTTTTTACCAAGCCTAGCTCAAACTCTCTCAATTAATATGAAATTTGAGTTAAATTTTCCTTACGTCTCCATTTCACAACATTTAACCTGGCTGTTGCACTTCATTAAATTGCGCTCACCTTCTTTCTTTTCGTATATAAAAGACGCCACTCATTATATATATAGTCACCCTTATAACCAATCTTCTCAAAATCTATATATAGAGAGAAACAGAGAGAGCGTGAAACAAACGAAAACCACAAAGTTCAACCAAGCTAAGCTTGGCTTGCTTCAATTTCTCTTCTCTCCCTTCAAATTTTATTTTCTTATCCTCTTTCTACTCTGAAATGGTTGCTCCCTTGTCTTCTTGGCCTTGGAACAACCTCGGAGTCTACAAGGCAAGTCTCTCATGACTTACAATTGCTAGTCTTTTACATATTTAATTTCTTTTTAATAAAATTTTTTTGACCATGTTTTATTTGCAGTATCTATTATATGGTCCTCTTGTAGCAAAGGTGATATATTCGAAGTCATGGGAGGAGAGTGGGAGAGACTCATGGTGCCTTCATATTCTCATCCTCTGTGCTCTCAGAGGGTTAACCCATCAATTATGGACCTCGTTCGGCTACATGCTCTTTCTCGTCCGACGCCGTCGAGTTATTAAAGACGGGGTCGATTACGAACAGATCGATAAAGAGTGGGATTGGTATGCATATATATGTTCCTCTTTTTTTTTCCTTTTAAAGCATTCGAATATATTATATTATAGTAGAAGTTTTTTCTCTCCTTTTTATTCGACATGTTTTATCGCGGAGTTTTGATACGAGATGTTCTGTTTTTTTATTTGATCAGGGACAATTTCTTGATTCTTCAAGCTTTCATGGCAGCGTTGGCTTGTTACATGATACCAAATTCGAGAGGCTTGCCTATATGGGACTTCAGGGGACCGCCTATAGTAATGATCCTCCATGTGCTTGTCTCAGAACCTCTCTTCTACTGGGCCCACAGATTCATTCATGGATCGGGTTATTTATTTCAAAATTACCATTCTATTCACCACTCGTCCAGAGTCCCCATGGGATTCACTGGTACGTAGTCAGCGCGGAGTTTAGATGTCGGTGACGCGTGAAGTGCTTACGATTACCCGGAAAGCTTTATTTGTTAACATTTTTTTATTGACGTGCAGCCGGATTCGCCACACCTTTGGAGCACATGGTGACGGGTGTGATAATGGGCGTGCCGATTCTTGGGTCTCTTTCGTTTGGAGCTGGCTCGGTTGGGCTTGTGTACGGCTACGTGCTCTTGTTTGATTTCTTGAGGTGCATGGGACACTCTAATGTGGAGGTGTTCCCCTATAGAATCTTTGAGGCGCTTCCGATTCTAAGATATCTCATATACACACCCGCGTAAGTAAGATCGGCTTTTTGCTACGTGACCCGTCCTGGTCGATTAGAATCCTGTCACCTTAGTGTGATTTATTGCTTAAATTTAGTTATTTTGAATCTGAAAGGGGGGGAAAACATCCTTGGAAAACTTCATCTTCCTTACTAAGTTGGATTTCAAGGGGTCATGCTTTTCTTGCTGAGGTTGTCTAATGTTGAAAGCAATTTTGTTCAAAAGAGCTTCGTAGGTCACACTTCACTTACTATTGTAGGTGTTGGGTGTATTTCGGTGGAGCCCCCTCATATTTCTTGTCGTTTAAACGAAAGCCCCCTTTTTCCCATTTCTTAGTAGTGGGGATCATATATAACATCTATCTTGTTCTCACGTCCCTTGCCAATTTTAAATTCGCAACCTTCCCTCTTTCACAACTCATTAATTGAACTCCCAACTAACAAGCAAGGAAAAGTCATTGGTGGATAATCTCCGTTTCCTTGCTCACCGAGTATTGAAAATAATTAATTATATTTTTCTCCTATCTTTGCTTGGCACCATAACCTAATAAGTCATAGTAATTTATCTATACTATCTATGGGTGATTATGATTTATTTTAAATAAATATATAACTAATAGCAAACGTTTTGATTGGAGGAGTGCGCTTTCCATTTTCTATCCACAGTGAAGTCCGGTAGGCAAAATATGTTGTCTTTCATTAATCTTAAATCTCCATATTGTAAAGCAAAACTATGCTAAAATCCTTATTGTATCAAGGTCGAGGATGATTGTGGATTTCTAAATTAGTATTTCTGATAAGAATTCTATTGTGCAGGTACCATGCCCTTCACCACACGGAGAAAAACTCCAACTTCTGCCTTTTTATGCCTCTATTTGATGCGCTTGGGGGAACAATCAATAAGAAGTCATGGGAGTTTCAAAAGGAAACTAGCAAAGGTACATACATCTACAAGCCTTACCTAGATATATAATTCTTATTTCATTGTGCGTAAAAAAAAAAAATTGTTGTCCTTTCACTGTATTGCACCAGTTAATGTATATGCGCACGCAAGTGCACTTGGTCACTGTAATAGGACCACTTTATTTTGCTAACGCTCTTCAAACTCATCAATTTGCTGAAGGAATCATTGGTGGTGGTTCAATGTGAAATCTTGGCTGGTGGGTCCTTTCACATGGACCCAAATTGATGGTAGAGTCTGAGCGTCTGACACCTGTTGGGCCGAAGCGTGGGTTTGTATTTGGGCCCTCGCTGTCCTCTTTATTAGCAATTAATAGATGGGGCCAAGGCTAGGATATTTACCATGATTTTTGTGATACACCGCTTCAATTGATGGTCTGCAAGATTAAAGATAAAAGAAACTATAGTTACATGTTTACTTTTGGCCGTTGGAAGTTGTGACCCTAAATTGGGCATCCTAAATTGTACTTCGGATCAACACTAGCCAATTTTTTTACTGGGCGACAGGCAAAAAATATTGGTCTTTTAAAAACTGTTACCTAATTGACATGTGAAATATTTTATACAGGAGTAAGATGGATATATGATTAATTAATCTTATGGTCATGGATAACTTAATGCATATGCCAAACTAGGTGCGATGCATTCATCAATTTTCTATAATAGAGCTGAAATAGATTTATACTTGTGAAATGTCTAATAAAGTTTAAATTCATTATTTGTAAAAGAAAAAAAAGCTATAAGCAGCATTTCAAAGATAAAAAAAATATTATTTTAGCTTGAACAAGGGTTAAATTGAAAGAAAAGTCACTGTAGTCGAAAAGTACACTGTAGCGTGAACCTTGTTCATGGGGAAAAGCAATTAAGTGCGAACAGTATTGCTAAGGCCGAAAAGATTGATGTAGCATAAACAACAATTTTAATATTTTGGTTATACTGTAGCAAGAATAATAGTAAAAAATAATGATAGAGACACACCCTTTACCATACTCCCAACCACACCACCTCTCTTGCTACAGTACACGGGACCCACATGAGATTTTAAAAATTAAAATCTCTTGTGGGCCCCGTTCACTGTAGCAAAAGAGGGGGTGTGGTTGAGAGTGTGGTATAGTGTGTGCCCCTAGTACCTCCCAATAGTAAAATGGACTTTTCGCTTTTAAGTCAGAAGTAGTAGATAGACGTCAGGAATTTTCAAAAGTACAATCACATGCCAACTGAAGATAAAGCGGTGGATGTACAGATAGATTCTAAGATTAAACTCATGTATTGTAAATAAAATTTCCGACTTTTCCTTCAGTACTAGCATCAAGCCTCTCTTTCTTTACTGTGATAACAATTATGAATATGCATACAGCATTTGAGCATAACACAAGCAAACTTCATAATTTGCATAGTGTATTATTCATTCAAAATATTACTCAATATAGCAATTCACGGAGTGTCAAATTGGTATAAGAATTATAGTATAATTACTATTATTCGCATAATGCAATGCACAAATAAACCAGAACAACCTAATTTTCATCTTTTTGTTTCTAAATGCAGGATATGATGAAGTTCCTGATTTCGTATTCCTGGCTCACATAGTAGACGTGTCTCATTCCTTCCACTGTACATTCATTTTCCGAAACTTTGCTTCCATCCCATTCTCAAACCGGCTATTTTGCTTCATCCTTTGGCCAATTGCATTCACAGTCATGCTCATGATCTGGGCTTGGTCCAAGACCTTCGTCCTCGCCTTCTACAAATTGCGAGGGAAATTGCACCAGATATGGCTAGTTCCTCGATATGGTTTTCATGTAAGTTTTCCGATAAATTGATTTTCTTTTATGACGGTTACAGTTTGATAGTTTTTGTCGATAATTTTGGCCTTGTGTTGGTTTGGTATTTTGATTTTTGCAGTACTTCTTGCCTTTTGCTACGGATGGTATTAACAAGCAGATTGAGCTGGGTATCTTGAGGGCAAATAAGATGGGGGTCAAGGTGATCAGCCTTGCTGCATTGAATAAGGTATGTAATAAAAGAGAACAGGTTCACATGGTGCTTGTTGTTGACATTTACTGGCCAGCACCACCAAATCCATGGCCCCTCATATGGTCACATATTGAGACTCAGAGATATACTATTTTGTCGACCATGTTCACTATACGGCCAGCTGTCCAAGAAGTATCTACCTCAAATTAGATGAAAAATGTAGATTGGAGATATGTAGTTATTTACATCGCTTCAAATTTTCTTCTTATTTTGGACCACCATGTGCTCAATAGACCCGGTTTACTGGATAGTTTTAGTGATTCTAAATAAATTTAAAGTTTCATAAGCTCTCTAAATTGGGAAATATCCTCATTAATAGTTGAGCAAGTCACATGCTCAGGCTTTAGACAACTTTTGTCTAGTACATCGGGTCTATTGTACAATTGGTGACTCAAAAATTGTCTATCCTTGTATCAGCGTGAGATTTCTTTTTTTTTAATTTTATTTTTTTAATGCTTTGGACAATCATATGTCAAATAGACATGGTCCATTGCATAGTTCAAGTTTCCTATTTTGTAAGTCTCCATATACGAAATAGCCATGTGTTCAAACAATAGTTGGTGACTCAATTATGCATATTGCATGAGTTTGACTCAATGCAATCTGCATTCTCATAGCCGAAACTGATATCACTGCAATTCGCAAAACTTCATACAATTTTCTGGCTTCCAAGTCCCTAAATAAGAGTTTAGTTCAGTTCATAACAGAGATATTTTTTTTCGTGTATGTGCAGAACGAAGCACTCAACGGTGGTGGAACTCTCTTCGTCAACAAGCACCCTGATCTAAAGGTGCGGGTTGTGCACGGAAACACCTTAACAGCTGCAGTTATACTCAATGAAATCCCCAAGGATGTGAAAGAGGTTTTCTTATCGGGAGCCACATCGAAACTTGGAAGAGTTATTGCATTATATCTGTGCCGAAAGAAAATTCGAGTCATGGTAAGTATCATCTCATTTTGACAAAATTGCGTCTGGAAAACAAAAATATTCAGACTCCTAATACAATTTTGATGGTCTCTACAGATGTTAACACTATCGACGGAAAGATTTCAGAAAATACAGAAGGAAGCACCAGCTGATTGCCAACAATACTTGGTTCAAGTTACAAAGTATCAAGCAGCACAAAATTGCAAGGTATAAGATCAAATTATGACACCTATCAGGCTATCACATTTTTTGTTTATTTAGGACCCAATTTGTAGCATTCATGTCTAACTAATCCAATTTATAGACTTGGATTGTGGGCAAGTGGATAACCCCTAGAGAGCAATATTGGGCACCCCCTGGAACTCACTTCCACCAGTTTGTCGTGCCTCCAATCATTGGCTTTCGAAGGGATTGCACTTACGGGAAGTTGGCTGCAATGAAACTACCTGAAGATGTTCAAGGGCTAGGAATGTGCGAGGTGAAGACTTACCACATTTGATCTTTTTCTATCACAAACTATGCAGTAGTTTCTATCCCCCTATTTAATTGTTATCCGTCCTTGGTGCACCATTAATGCACTGAAGACATGAATCACTGGATAGTTTTTCATGCTGATACTAATTAATAGCTACTGATTTCAGTATACGTTGGACCGTGGTGTGGTTCATGCGTGTCATGCTGGCGGCGTGGTCCATTTCTTGGAGGGGTGGAGCCATCACGAGGTGGGCGCGATCGACGTAGACAAAATTGATGTCGTATGGAAGGCAGCAATGAAGCATGGACTAAAACCTGTGAAATGAATGGAATTTTAGCAAATCGACACTTCTTCTAAGACTTGTTTTCCTCCCTTGTTTTTCTATTTTTCTTTTCTTAAAGTGTAACAAAAGAATGAAGGGTTATTGGTGTTTTTATGATGAATTAACTGTTTTACGGTTTGTATCTTTCACCATTTTCTTCAACGTAACAAAGAATTGTTGTCATTGGCATTTTTAGGATGAATCAACTGTTCTATGATTATTATCTTTCACCAAACTTGTGGTATTGATGAATGTTACTTGCAAACGTGTCTAATTAGAAACCTGAGGGGGGTGAAGAATGGTGCGAGTGGCATTAATGTTGTTTGGAGAGGCATATGGTCAGGGACAGGAGAGCAAGTGGTTGAAGAAACGTTTTGAATTAAATGATGTGGATGATATACTTCTATTATTAGCCTTTTTATTTTTTATTTTTTATTTTTTTTGTTATTTCATATTGAGGGGTGACTCGAATACATGATAACGAAACTAGTCAGATGACGAAAATCATACTCCCTTTAAAAGTACGACTTCGGAAAAATCTTTATATGGCCAATATTACCTTTTGATTTTTTAGAATATTACATTGTTATCCTAATCTTTTTTTAATTATCTTATCTTTTTTGAATTGGTAATCAAATGATTTATTCTATTCATAATGAGATTTAACATGTTATTGGATAAAATAGATATGTTTCATATAATTCAAATCATTTACTTATTTCTGTAGGCATCGAAAATTGCCTATAGGTCTCCACGAACAGCTCAGTGTTAAGGAACGATAATGAACGTTACTATCTGATTCACAGGAGTTCGACTGACGTCGGTGAACGATTGAAGTAAACCGACGAACTACGTGAGCTGACAGAACTCCGTGATGTTTACAAAAGGAACAACGCCCTTCGTGTCTCATGCATTCAATAGATGATATAATCATTGGAGCTTATAGAACACCTCGTCGGCTTCCCAACGCACTTTGAATCGTTCAAATCCGAGTTCGGATGAAGAAGTTATGGTGAAAACGAACAAACGGGCATAACGGAACATCTCAGGCTGAACTGGGACACCCGAGGTGTCTCAGACATTGTGAAGCTGTTTTGACCATGATCCGTTTTGAATCTGAAGAAACTCAAAACAGGAGAGTTGTAGATATTTTTGTCATATTTCCATCAAATCTGGAATCAGATCATTTGGAGGTCATATGAGGAAGTTATGACGAAAATAGCGCCGAGACACCCAAAGGTGTCTCGGACATGGCCGAGACACCCAAAGGTGTCTCGGAACTTGTGGAGCTGTTTTGACCATGATCCCGTTAAAATTTGAAGAAACTCAAAATAGGAAAGTTGTAGATAATTTTGTCAACTTTCCAACCCATCTGGAATCAGGTCATTTGGAGGTCATATGAGGAAGTTATAACGAAAATAGCGCCGAGACACCCAAAGGTGTCTCGGACCTGGCCGAGACACCCAAAGGTGTCTCGGAACTTGTGGAGCTGTTTTGACTATGATCCCGTTAGAATTTGAAGAAACTCAAAACAGGAAAGTTGTAGATAATTTTGTCAACTTTCCAACCCATCTGGAATCAGGTCATTTGGAGGTCATATGAGGAAGTTATGACGAAAATAGCGCCGAGACACCCAAAGGTGTCTCGGACCTGGCCGAGACACCCAAAGGTGTCTCGGAACTTGTAGAGCTATTTTGATCATGATCCCGTTAGAATCTGAAGAAACTCAAAACAGGATAGTTGTAGCTCTCTTTGTCAGCTTTCCAATACATCTTGAATCATTCAAATCCGAGCTCGGATGAAAGAATTAGAGCCAAAATACTGAAGAAGGTACAAACTGTCTCGGAAATTCCTAGACACCCCAGGGGTGTCTAGGCACCCTAGGTGCTCCCCTTGCCTATAAATAGCCCCCTTAGGCCTCATTTTTTGAGATCTGGATTTTTGGAGAGCTTGGCGAAGCCCTGCTGCAGTGAAGAGTGGTCGAGCGCTTCAAACGAGGAAGAGAGGTCTTCATCAGATTCTTCATCACATTTTCCCCCTTTTTCTTAGTATTACCCTTCGCCGGTAATCACTAAGAAGAGCTGATATCTCGTTTTAGCCGAGATAGACGCTTCAGGCTTCTAGATCTCACGCGGATCGACGAAGCTCTGTCCGATTTTTCGGAACAGATCTGAGTGTCAGGTGGTCCACGGATATTGACGTCCCCGTCACAGGAAAAAGACCCACGCAAGCAAGAGACCGCAAAACAGGATCTTGCGTTTGTTTGAAGGGAGTTGTAATCTTTTTTTTTTGTTTTCATTGTGTAAGAGTCTTATAAAAAGACTATCTTTTTTCTGTTTCATTGTAACGATTGAAGTTGTAATGAGTACAGCAATGAATACAACAACTTTCTCCCCAAACAATTTCAGTTCGTAAAGAAATCTAAAAAACATATATTAGCCAGTACCTAAAAGTTTTTGGACTTTGTATGTCACGCCCCGAAACTGCAGCGGAATATCATAAGATACGGGGTACGCGACAGCAGCGACCCGTGCACGAGACAAGTCTTATGCACGAGTCAAGCCTGGCAATTCACATCACATAGTTTATTTTCAAATAGTAATAAACCTAAAACAAAATACGCTGAAGGTAACATCATCAAGAAGAGGCTCTCCATATAACGCCTCTCAGCCAAAAGCTCAAACCAAAAGTCGGCTAATAGGAAGCTACGCCGGATCTGAAAAATATTTAAAAACAACGGGGTGAGCTAGCGCTCAGTGAGAACATTTCCCACTAGAGTTCCTAGATAACTAACAAAATAGTAATAGGAATAGTTTTCGGAAATTTACAAATTTCAAGTTTTGCATGAGAAATTCACAGATAACAGAATACGATCCAAATATCGTAATATTGTCATTTTTAAGAAAGAATACAACAATTATATTTTCTTTCTCATGTGCAACTGAATAAACTATGAAATTTCTTGGAATCAAACTCTTTTTGAAACAAGGTAAACAATAAGAAGAAAAGAACTACTAATTTGGGCAAAATCAGAGAATTGTTGTTTTCTTAATTTCACAGTCAAATTATCAGAATCTTATTTCTCGATGAGTTAATTCATGAACATAAAAGTCACCCCATAGGTCACACTAAGGCTACGAATTTTAGCCCAGTAGCAAGGGAATGCGTAACCGCATCAGATAACAGATAATTCCCGGGAACCGAATGCACCTAACACTGCCATAGGCTACTGGCCAAATACAGAGGGGCCAGAACAGATTTCAGAAGGCCAATACAGAAGGGCCAAGGCCAAATACAGAAGGGCCAAATAAAGGTGCATTCACCATATGGCAGGCAGAACCAATCCATAGTGGACTATTTGAGGGTTTGAAAACATCGAGATCACATGTCAAATGAGAAATACTTTGCATATCAGAATTTGCATATATTTCAAATGAAATTGACAAGGTAAAGCTACTCATTTGAGTTAAAGAAGATTACAGATATTCACTTTTTCTTTTATCAGATACTAAGTTACGGCAAATCTTTGAATCCGTTAAACTATTGAAATACGTTCCAACATTTCATCAAAAACTTTCAGATATAACAAAGTCCACAATTATTTGAAAATTGCACGAGAGCCAAAGTTATTTTTCATATTTTACATAAAGATCAAATTAGCTTTTGATATATGGTACGAGGCTAACATCGTATTATAGGATAGACCACAACAGAAATAGGTCAAATCTTTATATACATGAAAAGACATATTATTTATTTATTTATTTTTATCACAAGATAAATCAAATATAAACTCATGCAATTTCATAATATAAAATACTAGTGAGAAATGAACTCACCTCTAGTGGTCACGATATTCTCAAAATATTATTCTCCCGAATATCAACCAGAACCTATAATGTAAGATATAGGACTAATTATTAATTCAGAACAAACATATATTATAGGTAAATCAATTCATATCCTAAAGCCTAATAAATTCAAATATAATCAATAAGGATTAAATTCTACAGTATATATGAGTTTATTGTTAATTTTAGCAATTTATCAAATTTTATAACTCTCATATACTAGCTTTTGGACTTTCTAGCAATTTATGATAAGACAGGGGTTTATATGTAATTACTCTATTCATATATGATTTTAGCTTTCTCTGTTAGGGTTACTTACAAAATTTTTGTGGCTTTTAAGGACTTAGAATGAATTCTTAGATCACAATTTCTATTCTCCACTCAAGAGGGTTTTATAAGCAAGTAAAAATAACTAAGGGTTCTTTTTATAAAATTTCCTCCTTAAAATAAATCTAACTGATCATCTTCCTCCTCCCGTTGTTTCTTTCTTCTTCTTTTTTTTTTCTTCCGTTCCCTCTTTTCTTTTCTTTTTCTTTCGGTTTTTTTTTCTTCTCGCCTCTCTCTCTTTCTCTCTCTCTCTCTCTCTCCTCCTTCCTCTCCCTGTCTCTTTCTTTCTCACGACTCGCCAAAGCACCAAGACGATGACAGGGGGGTTGCCGACGACCAAGAGTGGCCGGTGTCAGATTCCTACCGAAACTAGGGTTAGTCTATTTTTCTTTTTCTTCTTTTTCTTTCTCAGTTTGTTTCATGCATCATAAACACATAAGAAAAATCCTTTTTTGCAAACCCTAAGTTCTTTTTTAAGTTCATATTCATCACAATTTAATTCCCTTATTCATTCTATTTTGGATTGATTACTAATATTTCTATAACGACTTTACTCTTCTAAAACAAGAAATCAACAAAAGAGAAGGGTTTATACCTTGGGTTTATTAGATGAAATCCTATGTTTTCCTCTCACTGCATTCTTCCTCTTCTTCTTCTTTTATTTCTTTTCACAAATTTCAATCTGGGTTCTCAGAGGGTTGGGTTGAAGAAATGAGAGGATATTTCTCTGTGTTGTTTTTTTTTCTATGATTTTTCTTTGATTTTTTTTTCTGTTTTTCCCTGTTTTTATTCTCCCGTTAAGAGGTGCCGGCCAAACAAACGAATGAAATTTAGCCACAAAATCATTAACGTGGCAACTAAATAAGAGTTAGGGTGAAATCCCGAAATTACCCCTAATTAGCTAATTAATCTGTAATTAAAGAAAAAAATTCTCTATTAATCAAGTTTTAAGACTTTAATTAGTTGGGTTACTACATTGTAGAAATATTCTCTAAGTTTTTTAAATTACAAAAACACCCC